GTAGCAGTCTTGAGTAGCAGTCGAAACGTCGTGAGAATTTTATTGTTTTATATTTTTATTATTTTATTGTTTCCCTTCTACGTGACTTTACAGAAAGAACCAAGAATATGAGTAAAGAACTGGTTATACCGAACATTCAAGGTGGGGGCATGGCGGGTTTGATAAATAATTCTAAGGGAGATTTTTTCAAATGGCTCACCAACACGCACCTATTAATCAAACGTAACCAAGGTATACACAAGGGAGATTCAAATGAAAAATTAAATAGCACGGCCACACGAATGCACGTGAGGTGACAGCCAATTTCCAAGTAGCGCATATTTTTGTACACTTAAAATGACGTGGCATTGCAGAATGCATGAACAGTACACGTCAAGCTATTTTATAAATCCACTCCTGGATGTGGGTCGTGGGTATTTGCGCATGTCAGTGCGGATTGCTAAAAGCGGGGGAGCGTTTTTTTATTTCGACAAAGGCCGACTGAGCTATATAGTTCCTTTTCACGTATGACCTGGCCACAAATATGGACATTTATAACAGCCAAATACTCGACACGCATTTTTTTATATATGTGGGAAAAAAACCGGAGGAAAATCTTCCCGACCACGGGGAGAACATGCAAACTCCAAATATACAGGCGTCGGGGTCGGGACCGAACCCATGCCCTCCTGCATGGGTTCTCACCCCTGTGGCGTCCATATATGTTGCAACATTACAGAACAGCAAGCGTTTGCCGAAACTGCCCTCTGCTGTCAACCACGGAGGTCCACAGCCCTCTGGCATAAGTGTTTTGTTTGGTGGTCGCCTATTCCAGTGTAAGGGTCGTGTAAGGACACGTCTGGATTCTGTAAGGGTCACAAAGGCACCACCGTAACTAAATAATTAACGAAAGGCGGCTGAGACACAGCCTGGGCAGGAAAAAGCATTGGGTTGGTGGATGACTTGGGCGTAGGGCTTTGGCGGCAAAGATAAAGGAGGTAAAGGGGAGAGTGAGAGGCGGAGAAAGAGGCCAAGGCGTTGATGGAAAGCAGAAGGGTGGAGGAGATTAGAGCAGTGTTCTTCATCGCAAGGCCCGCGGGCCCCTGGTGGTGGCCTTTTAGTGCGGCCCCCGACAATACAATGCTGCTGTCAAACCCCGAATGGGTTGAAATGTGTGGCGGCCCTCACACTAATGATGTCTTATCAGCGAAAGTGCCCCCCCCCCACCCTCTCTGAAAATTTGTGAAAACACAGCATTACAGGAACCTACTGGAAGGTTCCAGACATATGGAGCAGAGGAAATTTGAAGGGGGTGTGACGCATATCGAGAGGTTTTGGAGAGATGACTTCCTACGGATTGTGTGTGTGGTGAAGCGAGGGACGTGGTAAATAAAGTCCCTACCCTGAAGATCACAAGTAGGATTGTAGTCTTAATTCCTGCTTATTAGCCGAGCTAAGGAGCGCGGTGCATCACGGTTGATTTTTTGTCGCAGGTCATGCATACACATACTGCATAGTAATCGTGAATATCTGACTTCTGGCTGAGATCCAACTACTTGGATCTCAGCCATCAACACCTTTGTCTTTATCGGAATTATCTAACCGAGCCTTGCGGTCCTTGGCATCGGAATATGGAATTGTTCGCCAATAGCTCAGGAAAACCATTTGAGATGAGCGACAGCCAATGCGAGTTACACAGTATACGTTTGTGTAGTATTCGAAAGAAGAGTTAGATACATAGGGATACTTTTACATTATACACGCACACGAATAAAACTTTTTTTGTCATTACTCCGACATTTTTCAGATTGTTTTTCTTTATCAATTATTAAACAGTCGTATACATGTGCATACTTATACAAGTAAAATGCGCTTACGTATATGTATGCGTGTGTGCAGAGATTCAATGTGCAAATACATGTACGGCCTAACTACGCACTGCCGCTTTACTGAAGTACAGTACAATATACGTAGTCAACTACTACACAGGCGTGCACTTGCATTTGCCATCATGTGACGTACCCACGTTCACCCATGTAATTTTTTGGAAGTTTTCTCTATTTCTGACCATTCTTGCTTTCCTCAAACGACCAGGATTTATACCGTGACCTCTCGAATGCCTGTAGCGATGAGTCGCCTGCCTTTCCCCTACAATGCCGTGGTTACGATTCAATTCGAAAATCAATTATTCGTCTTGTTCGATACGTCCCCGTGTCTAATGTGTCCCGTCTCGTTTGTCAAGACCAGGGGGGGGGGGGGGGGTCGGTAACCTTTCAAGGAAGAGCCGTTGCGTTTGTTTTTGACCAAAATAGTTCGAGAGCCCCATTACACGCATACCTACTTGTACACAAACACAGCAGCAGGTATTCAACAGATGACACGCACACACATTCTGACTTAATAAAAATGTGATGGAATAAAATGCGTAGACTTAGTTTTTGTCCCCCTAAGTTATTCTTTAACAATAGTTTGACTGCACGTTTTGTTGCCATCAAGACATCCCAAGGTGACCCATTCTCTGCCATATTCGATCGATTATCTTTACGTGAAATTACGTTGAAGATTAAGGTTTTTTTTAACTGCTGCACTAGAGCCGCAGGTTGCCGAGCCCTGGTAAACACGAAGTCTTTTACAGCCGAATTTTGACTTTAAACTTTCGTGACTGCAGGAATTCATATGTTATGATTCTTTCGGTAAAGTCACGTAGATAGAACCAAATAAAAAGTGATTAAAAATGTCACGACGTTTCGATCGCAACACAGGCGGTCGTCACTAGGAACAGGATGATGACGACCGCTTGTCTTGCGATCGAAACGTCGTGATATTTTTAATCACTTCATTTAGATTTTTTATGATTTTTAAATCCTTTATATTAAGTTCGCTTGCGTGCTTGCTTGCTTACGACCGTGCAAACCTTTCGGTCGTTTTTTAACCCACTTCCCGTGATCCAATCGAGCTGAGATTTTGCACACAGACTCGTTGCGCGAGACAATTAATGTTCGTGAAAATTTTTTCCCAAAATTTTACACTGTTTAGGGAAAACAAATTAAATATTAATTACCAATTGTTTAATACTGCAGACAATCATCTGACCCATAGGTGGCAGCCATCTCAAGCCAGAGGACGAGAGGACTCGAGCCGCCACGCATATAAAGGATTTATAGTGAAAAACTTTGTTTTTACGGGTTTACTTATCTCTATCTACGTGACTTTACCGAAAGACCCATAGAATAATTACAGCCGTTTTGTCAATCCCCTTTTTGCGATGGTGTGCCAGTGCCCTAACTGACCATACTTCACCGCACTGGTCAGTGCGGGATGGGTTGAAGGACGGAGGCCCGAGACTGGTTCAGACATCACAAATATCAGTTTAACACGGAGGCTTTCGCGACCAATATCATACATGATACAGGTTTTGGGTTAGATCGTGTAAATATATGAATGTGTCGTTAAACCCGCCACCACCCGACACAGCCAATTAGTAAGGTTTGTCACGTAAACAGAACTTGCCAATTCGTTACTAGGACAGCACACCAGTGGTGGAGAGCCAAGCCACAACATTTCCAAACTGGCTGTCGCCTGAAGCTAGTTGTAATTAGTGGAAAAACGTACTCAGATTGTAAATGTTGTGGCTTGGCTTCCCAACACACCGGTGTGCTGTACTAGTAACGAACTGGCATGTTCTGTTTACGTGACAAACCTTACTAATTGGCTGTGTCGGGTGGTGGCGGGTTTAACGACACATTCATATATTTACACGATCTAACCAAAAAAACCTGAATTTTGGATCATAAATATCACTCGCCACTGTTAGCCGTGGCAGGGAATCAAACTCAGGTCGCCGGGTTGATAGTGCAATACGCTGACCACTCAGTCATTGCTCTATCTGTTGAGACTTTGAACCCAAACCATAACTCTGCATGAATCAAATATCATTGTGATAGGGTTCAGTGGCGATGAGAGTCAGAATTGTTAGATGCTTAACATCCAGTGATGAGCGTCTTTGCCAATCTATTTGGCCCTGCATATGAGATCACAGGTGTCGTGGTGAAAAATGGTTATGTTGTATATATTTACATAGTGTTTATGCACTGAATATACATCCGTATATGAAAAGCCCTTTTGTCAATCCACTGCTGGATGAAGGCCTCCCCACGCCATGCGGGTCGTGTTACAGCACGTTGGTCAGTACGGTTTGGAGAAGGCAGGGAAGCACAGATGTGGGAATTTAGAAGTGCAGTACTGTACAACAATGGATATTGCTGCACCGCCCCCTGCTGCCCAATACGTAGCCCTGAAAGTTCCCATCACAACCTGTTTTGTGCAATGTGGTCACCCATCATCCAATCACTCTCCAGACTCTACCCTGCTTATCTTCTGAGATTTTACCACATCTGGCGCAATTTGGATCATGTGGTCATAGGCCGCTTATTAAACACACCCACGTATGTGTAATCTCTTGTGTGTACGTACACGACTACATGAAATGTTGGCGACAGGTCGTGTGGTCAATAGTGCAGGACTGGCATGGTCTGCCCCAATACTGGTAGAGGTCCGCCCTAGGTCAAGTTGGCCAGTAAAAACGATTTGTTGGCTGCAGTGGTGGAGGTGGAACATCAGTAATGGAGTTTTTGACTCCTCTAACACACCGTGTGTCAATCTACATTTGAAGCACTCCCCTCCCCCTACCCCCCCCTCTCTCTCTCTCTCCCCCTTGCTCGTCCCCCCTCTCTTACCTATATAGCCTCTTGTTACAGCAGCCCTTTTGCTCACTTCAGCAATTGTTTCTTGCTGTGGTTGTCTCACCTGATGACGGACGCTTGTGTTGCGCCCGAAACGTTGTGATTTTATTTATTTTAAACCTACGTGACTTCACCAAAAGAACCAAAGAGTATGGACACCGTGTCGTGCCGGCCTTAGTAGGTGCTCGTGAACAACAACTGCCTTAACAGACTAAAAAAATCAATCTCACAGGGAGGATCTTTGCTTTTGTATGAAACACCAAAAAAACGCACACAAGCTTGGGGATTGTAAATAGTTTCATTAACGCCCACAGAATCGGGTAAAACTAAGAATGCCTACACACATTTCTATCTTGAGAGCAGGCCCTTTCACATGCCATCTCTGAGCCGTCTCAGTGGGGCCCGCGATCATGGGTTTCACGAAATTAGGTGGGGGGGGGGGGGAAGAAATAAAAGCTCTGTGCTGGTCCACATCATCATCAGCTCAGCAGCGACGTAAACAATTGTGCAAAACGGCGAAATCGCTCGTAAAGGAACTCCACAGAAAAGCGAGTTAAGAGACATGACATTTAAGACAATTTTCCGGTCTCGACGCATCTGCAAAGCACGAACGTATCTTCTACATGTCTGCAATTAAAAGCAATGGTTGTCGATTTGCTCTCAATTTTGTTTGTAGATGCACGCGGCTCCTTCGATTGGGTCTCCAAAAAGTGTAGCCATGTGCTTTTTTCTTTTTGGTTATGGTTAAAATGAGCCAATACCACAGAGTAACAATGTTTTTTTTTGTGTTACTTTCATTGTGTTTAGGCTTGGTTTATACACAGCATTGAAACAAGCGTGGTGCAAATCAAGCAGGGTTAGTGTTGCCTAGCGATGTTCCCGACCTGCACTTTTCTAATAACGATCATTATACAGATGGCAGCCTTCACGCGGTCCACTGTGTTAAATGAGAAATCACGACGCGGCGACCGAACATCGATCATCGATCTCCCGGTCTTGAAAACAACCACACAAGCCCCTCTTCAAAGCCAAAACAACAATGCCAGATCGGCGCTGGGACAAGGATCCTCCAACTGTCTGAGGGACTCTCCCGGACGAAGTAATGTGGTTGTCTGGCTTGAAATTGCCGTTTTTTGCTCTGCATCTACATCAGCCACACGAAAGAAGAGGATTATAAAGTAATAACAATAACGCTCTGAAGTAAACACACAATCAAGTGTTCACAATTGTGCTCTAGAGTTGCAAAGGATAATTAGACGTGACAATAATTCGTGCCATCACATTGTAAAGTTTGCAAACAGATAAATAATTTAACGGGAAGTGCAATCTGCCATGTGCAACGATATGGCATGTTTAAATTCTCATGACCATGATTCTCATCTTCATCAATGTGCTGGAATCAGTCATATGTATCAGCGACCCAGCACACACACTCCATCTCTGACCGATGCTGGATTGATTCTTCAATCCTGGCCTGCATTCTCATTGAGGGGTGTGATTAACTTTGTCCCCCGTAGCGCATTCTTCCAATTTGTAGGCTCGCATGGTGGCACTGGGCGGTGCACGCTGGACTTGGATTTGCAATATCTGTCGCCGTAGTGATTATTTTTGAGGAGACAGATTGGGAGTGAATTTGCGAACCTTAAATTGGAGGCGAGCGTACTGACCATCTAGGCTAATCTGCCAAAAACAGACGCCACATAATTTAAAAGCGAACTCTCACTGTATTGATATGCTTTGTGCAATACCGTGATTAATATCCAAGGTACCAGACAATAGCGGTTTAAATAAATGTTAGCATGATTTTTGGTTGTTTAAAGGATTTTTCGTAATTATGTCACTGGCTTCCAAGCAAGAAGCGCGGTAATCGTCAGCCCATCAGGAAATGCCCTGCAGAGATCAAAGCGTGGCATCACTGTAGCCTCGTGTCAATCTGGCAATTGTGCAGGCGATACACGGTTGCATTGTGCAGGGTAATTGTGACAAAGCATCTTGACATGCCGTTGCAGCGAGCTGCTTTGTAATTGAATGTTATTGTTGGGACATGCAAGTATCGTACTCAATATCCATGATGGTGGTTGTTCAGTAGCCAATGATGACTGCCATGGGGAGGGCGGGGGAAAGAGTCCGTTTTTGGACGTCTCTGGATATGGCTGATGAATATTCATACCAGGACGAGCAACGCGCATTCTGGAATTTTTTTACGCTATGTTAATATCACCAAATGACTTTACAATCACAGCAGCAATCATAGCGACTTAGTATTGGCCAATTTACAGTGCAAAGTATTGCCTAAATTGGGCAATACTTTGAAACTGAGCAGCAGCAGCAGCAAGCTATTGCTGCTTACTCAACGATATCCATTAGCAATGTTACACCTGTGATAACGATATGCATCGTGTATGTGATGTACAACTCAAGATTAGGGTTGTCCGTATTGACCAGCGCTATCGGGGGCATACCCTTCCTTGGAAGACACACAACAGGACCAAGGCCGTAATTGCCTCTGATGTGGATCCTCTTTCTCACCACGATCACATGAAGGTGGTTCCTTAGCTGTGCAGACGAGCGATTCGCTCCTTCCCTATCTACCTATGCATTAATCATTCATCGTGGAAGGAAATTACATTCGCAAAAGAAAATCTCACCTTTACAATATGGTTTCATGTAAGCTTTGGTAGCCTTGCTTGAGACCAAATTGCTACTAGATGGTGAGAAAACATTTGCTTTAAATCGCACATGACAGCCCAGGTTTTAATCACGTGATCTCAGTGGTGGTGACTTGGTACTCTAACTGGGGTATGAAACACAGCATACATCAACGTATCAGTGAAAGTTGTAAGCTACATTTTTTGTGTAACAATCATCACATCCCTAGCATATACAGCTACAGTTATCGCTAATGATTATTTATCGCTCCATAAAACCACTACTAAAAACAAAGTTATAGCACCTATTGCCCACCAGTTTTTCTTACTTAACGTAACATATTTAAAACTACCAGTAGATATATTTATCACAATTCAGCAATATTGATCAAATTTCCAATCACATTTGTTGGTCAGAAATGCAATTGCTTACAAATGTTTGGAGAAGCTTACAATGGAGCATTTGGGACTAAAAAACGAAGCATCCGTGCGAACGTGCGAACACTTTACAGCATGTCACACAAGAACTTTACACGCCCGCAAACACTAACCGTGCTGTGTATAGCTGAGCAGCCCCCCCCCCCACCCCGCCCCCACCATCAGGTTAAAAGCACACAAGCCTCAAACCCCGGTCTTGTCGTCCACAACTCCATCTCCACGCTCGTCCAGAAGAGAACCAGCGCGGTGTACGCACAAAAATATTGGCACGGCACTCGGTCAGTAGGCAACCAAGCACCAAGCGCACGGCCGAATACGAGTACTGTTACACAGGAGGATGGGTGCAGACTCAATAGCCATCAAATGCACCCACAACAAATTATAGAGGGGGAAAAAAAGTGTACATTGAATGCATGATACCGGAGTGCACAATCACACGCTGCCACGATTGCATAAACTCTAAACCCCCGGGAAAGTTTCTTCTCCAATACCAAGTTGTAGGGAGATGTGATGCCTGATTTCGTGGAAGGAAGTTTGAGGGCTGCGGCAAGGTCAGCCAACGTTCTCATCGGCGTTAGCCACTACAGTGTGCCTGCTGCTCACCACCCGCTTCCCTGTTAACGCTCCAGGCACCAAGTGAGACTTTGCAGTCCACATTGGGGTTAAACTCAAAACTGAGCTGGCAGGAACCTGTGAGGATGGGGGGGGGAGGGAGGTGAGAGGGCCTGGTTGAAAATAAATCAAGTGGGAAGTATTTTGTTTTTCCCCAAAGTAACCATATCTTGGAAGGAAAGGATGTTTTAAAATTTTACTTTTACCCAATTATTAAAATGTTCCAAAATTATTTTAAGCGAGTAAGGGCGTAACATCACCGAATCCCTTCAACATCAGCAATGACCAATATACTGCTGTATGAAGGCCTCCCCCAAGCCATCACATAAACTTATTTTACGTTAGATTTGTAAAAAAAAAAACCAGTGATGTCACTTAATTAAAATTACACCGTGATTATTCTTAAAGAGGTGGTGACATCACTGCTCTCAACCCCACCATAACTTGTTTAAAAGTTAACCGACTCTCTTACAGAACAACAGATAATGTTATTATCTTATGGCATCCTGGGTACACTTACAATGCCAAGGGAACAGACCGTCGCAGTAAATAAACCTGACCAGCCCAGCCCAGCCTTGCTCAGGACCAGGAAGAAACACTGCAGGAGATGCAGCACCTGGGGCACAATGCTGCTGGGGCAGGATTAGGGAAAGGATAAACAACAGACGCTCGCTCTCCCCACTTTGACGACGCAACATGGATGGTTTGGGCAGCTTCTGTCACAACTGCACGCGTGCAAAGCCAAATAGGCTTCAGGTGCGAAAGCCGCGGGACATCAAACCCAGCGCAGTAAGAAATTTAGTACCGGGTGCCGATAAACACTACCGAGTCATTCGCGACTAACCGAAACCAAAACATTTCTTTGCCTTGGAGATAATTTATGATGACGAAGTCTGCCAGTGAATTTGATGACAGGCCTAGTTTGTGAAATTTTAATTATTTCAAATCGAATAAAGTTGGCAGCAAGATGCTTGGTGAGCTCCAAGGTTTGAATCTCCATGCGGACCATTTGCGTCAGCCGCTAAATGAGCAGGGACACGTGACAGATGTTACATTGCCAGCTTCGCAAGAGATTGGCCTTTTCACGCAGAGATGGATGTTCTGTGATAATCGGATTATCAATTGTCTCGGAAGTGATCCAATCAGTACGCAATGAATTCTGACACTACTCAATCGACCAATCGCGTAAATTGAGGCAAGCTGCCCAATCCCATCATTGAACCGTTGGTCACAACGTGCCTACTTTGTGAGCGAGTGAGCGAGCGTGCGGGCACATGCGTGTGCGGGCACGTGCGGGCACGCGCGGGCGTCATCCCGTCTCGTAGGTGGAGAGCAGAGCGGCGTCAACGGGCTCCATGCATGAGGGGCAGGTGAAGGAGCGCATGAGCCAGTCGTCGATGCACTCCACGTGGTAGGTGTGCAGGCAGGGCAGGAAGCGCACCGCATCTCCACACACAAACTCCAGCATGCAGATCACGCACCTGCGGGAAAAACGAGAAGCGGAAGAGGGCGTAGCACCATCGACGTCAGCATGCGCGTTCGCCGAAAGGTATTTTGTTTAACGTAAAAATTAAATTTCAACAACCCCACCCTGATAATCCTACATAATACACTAGCATAATATGACTTGGAGACCCCCCCACCGCCTACACATTCCACAAGGAGTGACTAATCCCATATCTGCATTTGTCATCAATATGCTAAATTCATCTGTTGATATGTAAACTCCTTTGTCAAGGCGCTCTCCTCCTCCCACCCAGCTTAAAATACACTGCCAAGCTTAGCGGTGTTCATTACGACGCTGTCTTTCCGACAGCTCTGTTTCTTCACCGGAGGACGGCTGCATGCGTTGTTTATTTTATCATGTCTTATTTTTATTATTTTATTATTTCCCTTCTACGTGGCTTTACCGAAAGAACCAAAAATATATCTACCGCCATCAAAATCCAGTTAATAACGCACGTTACTACCGGGGTAAATAAAAGACTTGTGCAGAGGTGGCACAGTGGCTCGTGGACTGTGCTATGAACTCTGCAACCCGAGTTCTATTCCTGACTGTGGATAACATAAGTGAAATATTATATCGGAACTGTTTTTTCCCCCCTCCTTTACGCCTCCGCTTACCATAGTTTGCTACATACGGTGCGAAAGAAATTCAACATACATAATACACCAACCAGCGATGACCAACTACATAGCAGGGGCAAGCCTTTTTCCAGCAGTAAATTGACAAAGGGATGATATTAGAAGAATAGGGGTTTCCCCTCTTTTCTGGCAACAAAACTGAAACCTTTTTACGAGGAATCATGTCTGCAATAACCACAATACTTGTGGTCAAAATGAAAAAAAAAACACTCTGATAATCTTGATTTGAAGCTTTCGTGACTGCAGGAATCCATACTTTTTGGTTCTTTCGGTAAAGTCACGTGGCGGGAAAGCACGCTTATATTGCGCCTGAAACATCGTGATTTATTTTATTTTATACCTACGTGACTTTACCGAAAGAACCAAAGAGTATACTCTGATAATATATGCATTGTCCTTGAAACTGATTGGTCTACACCAGAGACAGCTTTCTTTTAAGCCTCGTCTCAAACGGTGTTAAACCAGCGGACGACAACTGTACACCTTTTGGCGTCCTGTGGTCGAACACCGTTTGAGACTAGGCTCAAAAGAAAGCTGTCTCTGATGTAGACCAATCAGTTTCAAGGACAATGCATTTATTAGAGTATTTTTTTGTGGTTAATGCAGGACATGGTTCCTCGTAAAAAGGTTTCCGTTTTGTTGCCAGAAAAAAGGAGAAAAAACTATTCTTATATTTTGGTACTGGCAAAAGAGACCTCATGATGTTAAAAGGGATGATATTACTTTGACCCCAATAGATTGATTCTGCCATTCACTGTAGAAGTCAGGGAAGGGGGGGGACAAATGCTAAAATCCCCCCTGCAATCTCATGAATATTTATGAGCACGCTCCTGCTCATGAATACTGAGAGTACCGACGAGAAGTGACATCACTCAGTGGCGTAATGTGTGTGCCACCGCCCATGCACTCAATAATATTTATGCCGCCTTAAATAATAATATGTATGCTGTCTTATTAAGAATTATGCCGAAAAACCATTATCATTGTCATAGGGCTACGGGCCAATGCAGTCGTGTGGATTTTTCTCCGGGTCCTCTGGTTTTTCCCTTCACATTTAGAATCAATGTGCGTTTAGAGTATTTGGCTGCTATACATTTCCACATAAGCCACTTCGTTGAGCTATCATTTGTGAGCAGGTCATTCTGAAAAAGAGCTATATAGCTCAGTGGGCCTTACCTGGTAATATAAAAAGTTTAGTTTTAACACGTAGGCCTTTCGCGAACAATATCTGGCTTGGCTCTCCAACACACCGGTGTGCTGTACTTGTGATGAATTGGCATGTTCTGTTTACGCGACAACCCTTACTATTTATATTCTTTGGGTCTTTCGGTAAAGCCACATTTACACGCAAATTCCATCTCTAGCCCCGCCCACTTACCCTTGGGCTACACCCATCTCAAACCTATATAACATCCTGCTTCAGCAGCTCTCCCACTATATGTTTTCACCTGATGACTGATTGCTTGTGTTGCGATCGAAACGTCATATTATTATTTTATTAGTAGTTTTATATCTACGTGGCTTTACCAAAAGACCCAAAGAATATTAATTCCTGCAGTCACGAAAGCTTTAAGTCAAGATTTAACCCTTACTTGTTGGCTGTGTCGGGTGGTGGCGGGTTTTAACGACAGATTTATATATTTACGCGATGTAACCCAAAAAAACCTCTATTATGAATAAAAAGTTTGGTTTAGTTTAGTGCAGCTTAATCTTTTGTTGTACTGTGCTATACTCCTTCTATATGTGCCCGACCCTTATGAACCCGCACTGGCAGGCATGATCAGTGGGATGTGGGCGAGGCCCTCATCCAGAATTGGAATGACAACAGGGCTGTACGTGGACATAAATGGCATTTGCTTTTTACTTCCTTAAGATTCAATGACAGAGTGCACGCCTTATAAAGAAGGACGAAACGAGCACAAGAAATGTGATATTGGTCCAGCCATTGTGACGAAACTACATATTCTGTGCAAAAAGCAAATACATGAATTCAACGATACACAACTCGTTTGTAGCAGATGCACCAGGAGGCTACTAGTGGGCCGATGGCCTTTAACGGCTGGGGTGCTGTAAGGTGAAATGTTTCCAGAGCAGCTTCACAGTAACACATGCACAGCAACAGCTTGCTCAATCTGTGCACTTCACATTCATTTTGATCGATTCTTAAGGCAGCACAATGATCGGTATGCGCTCTCGGTGCAATCGCCTGCAAAACGACCACCATTCACATTGCCGAGATCAATACCGATGTTCCCGCCATGACACTGCATTCACTTAAGATCCAAGTACATTTAGATCAATCGTTTTCTATTTATAATCATAAAACGAGCAATGACTTAGCTCGTGTACCAGTGGTAGATGGATTGTGGCATCACGGAACCGTGAGGGACGTCGACGGGTTGGGGAGGCCTTCATCCAGTCATGGATGGACCACAACTGATGGTGATGTATAAAACTAACTGTAACACTCACATGGTTAGCGTTAGTGAATGTATATACTATAAACCGAATTGAATGCTACCAAATGAAAAATGCCCTTATGGGTTACAACGAACAAGAGTAATGTACATCCATTCAGGGGACAAGGGAGTGTCCAAAAGTAATGGGTTTCCCAAAATCTCACCCATCAATTTGCCAACTATTGGCTGAACTGTTTGTTGAACTTCTTTCACACCGCACGTAGCCAATAATGTGAAAACCACAAGCCTGTTTTTATTAAAGTCACACTGCCACTTTTAGAACATCTCTCTGACCTGGGAGCGCCACTGACTGAACAATTTCTTGAAACAAATGATTTTCGCCTGCAGCGCCGCGCCCTCACCGGGGATGACATTTATTCGGCACAGTAGCTCCATCGAGCGTGACCGCTTAAAAAATAGCATCTGACAGCATGCGCTCAACAAACACCGTACGCACGCAGGGGGTTTTATTTTGTGGGAAACTTTATTTGCATGTAGCTTTCTCCCATGCGTGGAAATAATGCCCAAAAAAAAGGAATTTACCAAACATTCCAGGAAATAACAAAAAAGAAACCTCCTGAAGAAGTGCAAAAATGTAGTGACGCTTCCTTGCAGACAGATTTCACATTGTTAGCAAAGAGAGGGTCCTGATCCAATGCTTGTTCATTGAAAGACGATCCAAAGTCTTATTTCTCATCCCTCATCGATTCCCTCTCTCCTAGCTCGGGGAAGGTTGACATTGCAATTAGATATCTTGAGGGCAGGAAACGTGGGCTTTGCACATGTGCATTTCAATCAGAAAAGGCCAAGTATTTGTTTGACACAAAGCTGGCACAAATGTAAATCATCTAGTCAGAGCTCAGGGGACGAGCGGTGAATGTGAAGATGACAATTTGGCAAACGTAACAATGTCATGGCACAAGTTGTGAACTCATCCCTTATTAATATAAATGGTGCAGCTTGTACGACCACGGTTAATGTAGTCAAACTTGTATTTGAGTCTGAGTCTTATTGATGACAACCTGTGGATTTTAATGAAGGTTGAAGGCCATGGACCACGAGGGCAATTGCAGGCCAATCGTTTCTAGCAATCATCACTAGCAATACATTAAGCACGAACGACTAGGGCAACTTGGGTGGGCAACAGAATGGAGCAACAGAGTTCTCTCTAGCCAGTTAAGGCAAGCCTTGATTAAAAAAAAGTGGGTTGGCTGAAAAATAATTGGTCTGCAGACTGTAAATTAACCTGTTGATTTGGGATGAGGTAGACTTGGTTTGGGTCACTACTTGATTAGAAATAGGGTAGACCGATTACTAGTCACTATTGATGAGGGATGGGGTAGACCTAGTACATGTTTCCTTTGCTTTATGGGTAGCGCGTGCAGTATACTCACAATGTGGTCCCACGTCTGACCGCATCGCCGTATATGAGTGAACTCAAACCGCATATAGCAATTTTTGGGTAAAAATAGGTTAGCCATATATACGCAAAATCACAAAAACCGAACCTGTATAAAGTGAAGGAACCTGTACTAGTCACTAGTTGACTAGGGACGGGGTAGGCTTAGTACCAGTTACTAGTTAGACAATGTTAAACTGGTCATTAAGTAATTCCGTATGCAGTCGATCTTTTCCAGTCAATTAGCCAGTCACTCAGTCAATACAATAGATCACCAGAAAAGCAATCCGATCAGAAGACTTTTCTTTCATACATCCAGATCGCATTCATCCTGTAATTGGAAGCCACAAGCTTTTCATGTGAAGAAAGCGTGACATCATCTGGCAGTCATGTGTGCTATCTCCAATCTGATTGGAAGCTACCGTCCCGATTGCCCACGAGGGGGCAGCTTTAACCGGAATTATTCTTATTTGGGACAATGAGATGTTTACACTAGGAAATGCTGCAGAAACCAATGCCGATAAAAATTGCCAGGAATTATTGCCCTGAAATTACCATCGTGAATCGTGGCATTTAGTCTGTGGATTGTATGCAGTCATTCTCATAGTCCAATTGACACAAGCAGTCACACATTTAGTCAAACACTCTTAGTTATTACATTTCGGTGGAGAGGGGTGCCCATTCCTCAACCCCCCACCCCCCTTAATAGTATTAGTTCAGCCAAGCAGTTGCCGTGGCCAGATGTTAGCTTCCTTGCCTAATCTGCAGGAGGTCGTGGGTTCGACCCCGACCCTGATCCCTGTAAATTTGGAGTTTGTATGTTCTCTCCGTGGTCGTGTGAATTTTTCTCCAGGCCGTCCGGTTTTTCCCTCCACATTTAGATTCCACGTGCGTTTGGTTGCTATAAATTTGCACATGATAAGCCACTTCGTTGAGCTATCAAAAAGAACGATATAGCTTATTGGGCCTTTACCTGGTAAAAAAAAAGTTCAATAGTTTAGTTGAGGTAAATCTTATTACACACAATCAATTACCATGTATATCACTGCAGTCTCAAGTAACGTTACTAAATTATCTCAGTCTTCATCTTCACTGACTCCTCATGATTTTCGTTTGATCGTCGGTCACACCTTGGTGGTCATCGTCACGCTCAACGATTTTCATACACTTACACAGTGATCATCGATTAAAATACGAAACGCTTATATAGTTGAAACAAAAAACATTTTCATCGCTAATTTCGTGAAGAAAATTAACACCGCAGGGCAACAGGAGGCACCTGGCACTGCACCACAAACAGGAAGCCACGGCTTGACAAATGTGCGTGCGCATGCATACTGGCCGCGCATGTGTGTGCCGGGTAGATTATACAGGAAGGCAGCGGGCCGATCTAGTTTATGAGTTTTTTTTTAGCACAATGGTCAAGGTGGCGGCAGATGGGCCATGCTGGGCTAGCTGGCAGATAAGCCCGTGAATGCCCCACGCGGGCGTCCCACCTGTTTTATGAACTGGCATTATGTGCTCGGGCAACTGTGAATGACCGAGCAAAGCCTTTATAACTGTACATCAGATTAACGTTTGGTTCTGTGTTGGGTGCTGGTCACAACCCGTCCCTTGCACAATGTTGAAAATGACGAATGACGCTAAGCTAACTCAGCATGAAATGGAAATTTGCTTTTGCGAGATGATAATCAGCACTGGAGAGATAAAGGTGTTCATGCATGCGAGGTCTTGGTCACATCACTGTCGTGAGAGCCGTCGTCGACCTTAATAGGTGCTCGCGAGCATTTGCCCCGCGGTCTGACAGGGGATCTTTGTTTTTTCAGGATCGTGTGTATTTGTACGCGTGTGCTCGCGCATGCATGCAAAAAGGAAGCATTTGCAGCTTTGTGGGCTAAGCTGCACTGTACAGTACCAGGCACCAGATGGAAAGTCGGTTCCTTTTAGCATCACCATTATCGCAAACATCGTTACCATCGCTGTCCTTATCATTACGTGGCATGTTATCGCACCTCTGTGTCAATGCATGGCAGCCAAGGAGTCGGGCATCGCAGCTGAGAATGTCAATGCATCAGCCCGCACAAGCCATGGCGCACGTGCAAATGGGTACATGTTAATAATGTTGTGGCTCATAACTCATCGTGCAGTGTAGCAAATTCTGGACTTTAATGCTCCCACATCTATGCTCCCCACCTTCACCAACCCACACTGACCAGCATTGTGAAGTATGGTCCAATAACCCCCCAAGACATGCACAGCGTGTGGAGGCCCTCATTGATCAGGAGATTGAAAAAGAGCTCCAATTCATAACATACACTGGACACGGGGGAACGGTGATATGAAACACCGCAATCCAAGTTTTAATCCTGGCCATAGCTAACATTGCTGGCAAGTGATATTTGAACTGCTCCTAGCACCCGCCCCCATTCACTGACCTTTGCTGACCAGCGTGGAGAAGTGTGGTAAAACAACACATGATTGCAATGTGGGTCTTATGTATATTAAAATTAAATAGGTTTTACTCATTGAAAAAATTCAGCTAGGAAACTTGGGTTTCCTTGCTGGGGAGAAGTAATTTTCGGAAACGTAGGTTTCCTCTTGTAGAGTGGTTTCGCTGTGATAAGAACACCCCACCCACCAACAGCCCAACAGCCATCCAGGGTCGATAAAATTAGGACCACTTTGCAATATGTCAAAAGTGCTTTTGCTATGGATCAAGTGGCACTAGCCATAGAACCAAAAAATTCCTGAATTGTCTCAAGATCTCCTACAATGTGTATCAGCACCACGCCAGTCACTTGAGCAGGAATATGCTCAAGTGACTTGGGCTGGGGCAAGGCTTATGCGGCGAAGTAATTTTCGTAGTCATTTGTCATTGTATTACTGAAACAAATTCGACTGGCTTTGGAGGAGAAATGGAAGGGCAACGGACGATGTCTAGGGGCGGGAGAAGAGAAGTAACCGGGATTCGGCTGGAGTGAACGAAGAGAGTGGAGACTTGCCAGCGAGAGAGAGAGAGAGAGGTGCTGGTGGTGTCAGACAGAGTGAAAGGGTGCCGGGGATGTGCTGCAGGGAGTGGTGGCTGTGCAGGGTGTGGGTGCACTTAACACCCTTGCATAAAAATACCCGAGCACTTGCGTAGAGAAAAAAGTGGTACCGAGACTATCTTTAAGGGGTACATTTAAACACATACTTGTCCAACAAGGAATTCCCCGAGACGTTTGTGTGTATAAAACGCATCCAGGCCGTGTCTGTGCAAGGTGTTGTATCCACGACGGTGGTGATGGTGTGCTCAAAAAATTAAAATAAATGCTTTATTCTTCAACGGGGCTGTCCTGAATACAGTGCTCTGATAATTACAGTAAGTATCTGAGGGCAGATTATTCGGGTAATGTATTAACTGTGCTCGCAAAAAACACCATGGAATATCTTTTTACATCTTAATTTACGTGTGTTTTGTATTATCTCTGTTTTTGTGTTATCCGGGCCATATCTCCCCTATCATTACACGAGACAATTGGGTGTCGACTGAAAATATTAAGCGCCTTTGGTTTACTTTTCTTCTTACAATTAGATTCCAACTGTTCTATCAATGTCATAACACAAGGGCAATTGTCATTGGGAAACCTTACAGTGAGCAATGCGATGTCGCGTCACATTGGCCAAACGGACGATGGAAGCTGACATCAAAAAACGACTTCTAAAGACAATTGCTGCTTATCAACACTGCGTGGCACAGTAGTATATCCCTCGCATGGCACTTGGACCTATATTTTTGGTTTTAGAGATGTAAATTTTGACCTAAAACTTTCGTGACTGCAGGAATTTATATTCTTTGGTTCTTTCGGTAAAGTGACGTAGATTGAAAATTAAATATATAAAATAATATATTGACAGACACAATTTCAACCAGAAGACGGTTATAAACTTAGCATTTTGTTTGCATTTGACTGCAAGTATTGTGGTTAATGCACACATGAATCCTTGCAAAAAGGTTTCAGTTTTGTTGCCAAAAAAAATGGGAAAACCCCTATTATATTTTGGTACTGGCAAAGGAGGTCTAATGATGTAGATGCTCACTCCGAACCCTCATTACTTTGATAGTGCATTGTCTTTGAGCTGTACGCCCTTTGGCGTCCTCTGGTCGAGCACCAATTGGGTCGAGGCTCAAAAGAAAGCCGTCCCTTGGTGTGGACCAATCAGTTTCAAGGACAATGCATATATTATCATAGTGAGTTTTTTGTTTGCATTTGACTGCAAGTATTGTGGTTAATGCAGACATGAATCCTTGTAAAAAGGTTTCAGTTTTGTTGCCAGAAAAAAAGGGGAAAAACCCTATTATTATACTCTGTATCAGTTTAACACGTAGGCTTTCGCGACCATATAAACGTTGTGGCTTGGCTCTCCAACACACCGGTGTGCCGTACTAGTGACGAATTGGCATGTTCAATTTACGTGACAACCCTTACTAGTTGGATGGTGGCGGGTTTTAAGGACACATTTATATATTTACACGATCTAACCCAAAAACATTTTTATGGATTACTCTATGTGCGGAGTGGCTCGGAAGTGCTGTCACTTGAAGTGAAATGGTGGCGAGATGTTAGCTACATCGCCTGGAAAACAGGAGGTCGTGGGTCTATTCTGACCCTGATGCCTGTATATTTGGAATTTGCTTGTTCTCCCCACTGTTGTGTGGATTTTTCTCTGGGTCCTCCGGTTTTTCCCTCCACATTTAGATTCCACATTCGTTTAAGAGTATTTGACTGCTATAAATTTCCACATGATGAGCCACTTCGTTGAGCTACCATTTGTGGCCAGGGCGCTTCTGAAAAAGAGCTACGTAGCTCAGTGGGCCTTACCTGGTGAAAATAACAAAAAATCTGTTTAGTTGATCTCACAGGTAGTCTGCAATATATGCATCTGCAGGTCATCGTCTAATTTACAGGATTGCTCCGCTCTGTGAAAGATTTTCATGGACTGACTCTTGACAAGAGGCTGATGCCACAATCGGGAGACAATCGTGAGAAACTATAAAGACATTTCTTGTATGTATGTTGAACTTCTTTCACACCGTACATAGCTAACCGCGTGAATCAGAGGTGCGGGATCGAGCGAAGGAGCATAACAAAGAGGCCACCCCCCCCATGTTGCACGTCGTCCGACGGAGCGGCACGGTGAAGCCGTGGTGTGAGGGGGACGAGCGAGCGGGCGTCCACTCACTCGCGGCCGCGTTTCTCGGCGGTGGCGGGGTCGCGTGCCGGCTCGTAGACTCCACGCGGCAGGTGTTGGATGAGGCCCAGATGCTGCGCGATGCGGATCTGCTCCTCCTCCGTGAGCTGCGTGGCCAGCCGCGTCTGCGTGGGCGTCAGGTGGTAAACGGGCACTCCCGCCTCCTCCTGCCACGAAGTTCAAGGGAAAAGTGTCGAGTGAGTGGGAGGGGGGGGATGGTGGGGATGGCGGCGGCAGGCATAGACGTGGATCAGGTCCACGTGTTCATTCCAATTTCTCGCAATGTGCAAATGCAAAGGTTTGTTTATGCCGATCCAAAAAGCTGGCAAACTGGTCTAAACTATGAAACTAAACTACTTTTTATTTTACCAGGGAAGGCCCACTGAGCTATATCGCTCTTTTTCAGAAGCCATCTGGCCACAAATGATTGCTCAATGACGTGGCTTAGGTAGAAATGTATAGCAGTCAAATACTCTAAACGCATGTTTCTAAATGTGGAGGGAAAAATCAAAGGACCTGGAGAAAAATCCACACGACCACGGGGAGAACATGCAAACTCCAAATATACAGGCGTCAAGGTTGGAATCGAACCCACGACCTCCTGTATACCAGGCAAGGGAGTTAACATCTCACCACCACCCATTATGTATATATTTATATTGAACTTTTCGCACCGTACGTAGCCAACCATGCTAATCGGAGATGCGGGGGAAGAACAAGATAAAAATCTGTTCTAAAGAAATGTTTTTTAATAAAACGTATTAATAGCACCACCATTATCTTTGGTGGATTCTTCAACAAATTGTTTCCAGTGAGGCACGCAATAAAACTAGTGTGCGCTGGTGGGCATTGGTATGTCGCATAAACGTGTTTACATCATAGTATCACATGGAAAAATATTACGACATCAATGGCCTTGTACAATAGTAACGATTGTACATGTGTAGCTCTTGTCTATAGCTGTCAGTCTCTCTTTTATCTTACCCTAATCTGTAACTGTTGATGTCACAGGGCGGTCCATAACGTTGTCGGTCACTCCAAGAGCATTCGCTGGCCACATGTGGTCTACGAGCCGCCAGTTAAAACAATCTCGTATAAATGGCTACATAAAGTAGGTGTGCATGCTTACATCCACCCGCATGCATCCCAATAAACATACGCTCATTGTGCTGATCAGTCACAATGCTATTTAGGAATTCTGTGGTTTTGTAAATGGTCTTCCTACAGACAGACAGACAGGCGTGATATCTCCCAGGCATCGCAATAGGTGGCCAAGTGGGTTCCAAAATTATGTAAACATAATTATAAATGATGCATAATACACATAACCAAGTAGAAATAATCGTGACCACAGGGATCCATACTCCTTGGTTCTTTCGGTAAAGTCACGTAGGTATAAAATAAAATAAATCACGACGTTTTGGGCGCAACACAAGCGTTCGTCATCAGGTGGGACAACCTTGCTGTGGTTGTCCCACCTGATGCAAGTAGAAATAGTCAAAGGGCCTTTGGCGAGTGACATAAAACATGTTTGCGAAAGCCTCCTGAACGTTACATCGAGTTAGATGGGAAACGAAAGAGGATTGTCATTTCAGATATTTTACGCAACAGGAATAATGTTCCTTTTCACGAGAATTGATCATGAATGTTCCTCTGTGAGATATTTTTTGGTGCAAAGACGTCAACATTTCCATCACCAACAATGGGGCAAATTGTCAGTGATTTGTATCAGTTCACTCATCAAGATTATTAATCTAGGCCAGTGTCTGGCTGCTTAAAATAAGCAATGCGGAAGTGGTCATCTGGGCGAGTGGTGGAAATTCCCCATTCCCATTGTGATAGTCAGCATGTTGCGAGGAAAAACTCTGCTATCTTCCTAAAAAGTGTTATGTATTTTATCGACCCCGGCGGGAAGATCGCTGTTCTTCCCCAACCAATTTGCGACTTTCCGATTGTGATTGAACATCACCACCATTTAAAGTAAACTGGACATTTCCAATACACATCGGAGCCAATATAACACCACGAACAACTCAGCTCACAAAACTTGGTACATTCTTCTGAGTATTCTGCCTAAGGACAGGTTCTCAGCTCACATTTTCTCCATTATATCCAATCTTGCACCCTACTCTTTTGTCATTATCCTTTAGTTATTTATATTGTCGTGTAGTTCTACCCTTTTCTTCCTCTTTGCTTTTCACCTTTTATGTTTACTTCCGAAGCTTCACGCAGCAAACCTTCCCCCCTGGAAATATTCTTAATCCGGGAATACTCTGCACCATTCCAGTGGTCCTATATGGTAGACCTGTACATGCAGTGGCATGTGTATGCTCCAAAATACGCAAACTGATCCAATTATGTAATTAGATGTTACACGTCTGGTGTCTAAGGTCATGCAGAAGCCTGTGAAATGCATAAACATCATTCCGGGTCTCCTGAACCCAGGGCTGCACATCAGTGTGAGGGCCGATCATCAATCTACTCAGGATCACATGACAGTATTCTCAGTGCTGTTGGGGCATTCTACCTCACCAAGCTGGTTAGTGCGGGTTGATGAAGGGATTGTGAACAGGTCCAGTTTAGATATAAATCACCACCTCGTGTCAGCTGTGGCCAGAAATGGAACGCAGGTCGCCGGGGTTCATAATTCAGCGCGCTAACCACCGCACAACCACTTCTCCAATAACCATTACAAAGAGCAATGAAGAAAATAAGAACATTAAAAAGCAATTAAATGCTTTTCTAAACAAAGCATTCAAATAATAATAAAAATAATCTTATTTAAAAAAAAAGTTTCCTTAGACTATAATCGCAGGTAATGTAGCTGAGAGAGACGTCCAGCCAACAAAAGACTGCAATTTAATATCCTAGGTGGGGGTAAGCACAGCTAATCATCCCTGGATTAACATGAGAATTACTTTATTGGAAGCCAAGGGCGACTGAGGCTGCATATAGACTGGGCCGCCGCCACCACCACCACCACAGATGTAAGATTTATACTCCAGGCTCAGGATCACCAATGGAGATAAACACAAAGGCCATTGCACGTATTAGAAGCGTGACACTCCGGCGTGTGAATTTTATGATGAGGCTTATCATACACACTAAGAGTGGCAGACATGGAGTGAAGATCCACGTCGGGTTGAAGAAGCCTGTAGCCAAGCGGTCCGGGACCCAGCTCGTGGTCCGGACCCGGATAGCGGGACCGTGTCTAGTTCTGCCGTAGCGTGGTTAGATGGGCGTTCAACACCCGAGTGTAGGTTATGTTATGTTGTGTTGAGTTTATGTAATAGTGTTGCTCCCAAGACAACGTCTGCGACTTAGTTGGACTCAATATATATAATAAACATTCCTATTGTTTCAATACAGCATCGTAGTGGCATTTAGATGCCATATAAATACGAATTGTAATTACAATTTAGAGAGGGGCCACTATCAGCAACTAAAGGAGGAGACAAGTGGTGGCTGGCGCAGCAATCAGTGCTTTGTGCTCTGAACCTGGCGACCTGAGTTGTATTCCCAGCCATGGCTAACATCAGTGCTAATAAAGCATCTGAATCAGTCCCGCTCCTCCCAATCCCCTTAAATCCACAACAATAACCACGGCGAGGTATGGTCAAACAATCCCCATCACCAATATGGTGAGGGGGAGGCCTTCTTCCAGCAGTGGATTGACTAAGGTCTAAACACAAACAGCATCAGCACCCTCCTGCCCTCACTATGCTCGTGACTAAGAAAAAAAATCTGGACACATCAAAATCTTTATTCATTCTGGAGAAATCCATGGGCTATAAAGCAATTTTTCACAGATGTCCAGCAACAGTGTAGCGGGTCCTACTGAGTCGCAGATGTTGTTCCTTTTAGAGGCAACACTTTTATTTGTAACACCGTAACACCGCAACACAAAGGGGTAACTGTCACTTTGCCAGACGACAGCGAGTTACTACTACGAAGGGTCGATCCCTCACCCGTGTGTCCAACCACGTGGTTGCCTCGTAAGACGGAGAGCTTCAGCTTGAGACGTTGAGCTTCCCGCTTGTAGAATGCAGCGACCCCGGTTCCTCTCAGGGACCCGCCTTATATTCCTCTCCGGTCGGGGCCGCTACACCCTCGGCCCCGCCCGCCTTCCCGAACATTCTCGTTCCCTCTCAATCGTTCTCAAGAGCTCTCTCCGGACACGTGATCACCCCCTAGTCCCCCCACCTGGGGCCTCCTGTATGGACATTCGTGACCACGTGTCTACGGGGTCAACCAGAGCGCCATGGCACGGGGCAACCCTGCCCCTGGGCTGACACTCACCCCCTCGCCCTCGGGGGAGCCCCCACCACACGCCGTGCGTGGTGCCCGCACTATCCCAGTGCTCGCCAAGCCCCGCTAGGGCTGGTATTACACACAGCCACCCACACGGTGCTGACCACGATGTAGGAACATCGAACGGCACGACCCTTCTGGGCCGACACCATACAGTGACATCCCTGATGTCACTACAATAGCATATTTGCATGCTGAACATTCAGCACAACTATTAATATTAAAACAACAATACACCGTGCCCTCGTGACAACCGGGTTACTACGTCACACCAAGCACGAATATGCAGGTTTTTAACGCCCAGGTCACATCAAACGCACAACACCGGCCACCGTCTGCAAAATCAATAGTTTCCTACGTATATCGAGATTCTTACTGCCGATCGCTGGTCGGCAGAATACACTTTGAAAGCCATGCTTCGATGACATTGCCAGCACTTTTGCCTTTGGCCAAGGTTGCAGACTTTCTGCAACTCCACATGACTCAGGCGAACGCTGTGTCATTGTAAAGCAACACAGCGTGAAGCCAAGCTGACGTTTTGAAAATTCGATAAGCGTTTTTTTACGTGTCTTCAAACTTGGAAACCAGGTTTTAAGCCACGTTATGGGTGCATGGAAATCTAAACTGAAGCATTTTGAGTAGACAAATTAAATAATCTTAGCTATATAAGTATTTTTTGTCTGTCCATCTGTCTATGTACGTAATTTGGGAAGGATTTAACTCGCAAACTGTGGGGTTAACGTTTAAAACAAGTACCCAAATACCACGCGATAAGCCCTGTGGTGAGCCAGCGCTATTCGTATTTCACATCCATCAACTTTAAAGCAGATAAATTAACTATTTATTACTATTAATT